CTCCTGCTCCTCCTGCTCCTCCTCCTCCTCCTCCTCCTCCTCCTCCTCCTCCTCCTCTTCCTCCTCCGTTTGCGTTGGTCAGACCTTACGCTTACGGGTGTGGCGTTCTTCCTCCTCCTCGTCCTCCTCCTCCTCCTCCTCCTCCTCCTCCTCCTCTGGCTCGTCGTCCTCCTCGTCGTCCTCCTCCTTCGGCTCATCCTCGGCATCGTCTTACGCATCCTTCCTCTATTGGGCTAGCAGTCCACGTGAGGGGAACAAGACAGCAGGAGGCAGAATCGGTCATTCAAACAACGCCCACCCAGACAAGTCGACATATGAAATCTGCACGGGTTGACTCGACATTGGCATACCAGTGGACCACTGCAGTCTCAGGTCAGTTCTAATCGGCGTGCGCCTCGCCGGATTCACTTAGTTGGTTTTGGCCGTCGATTCGTGATTCCGCCCAGGTGCATTCGGAATGCGATACTGCGCGCACCCTCGCAGTGCCCCAGCAGTTTTCACTGAAGTGGGATTTGCTAAAAGGGGGTCTGGCAACCCTCGAGAGAAGGACGGGGAGGAGCGTCAGTACCACATGAGGAACCGGAGACCAGGTTGGCCTGCCGTTTTGGAGGCAATACAATGCGGTTTCCGGCGTCGGGCTTATTCCTTTGGCAGTGGGGTCTATCCTCCTCCTTTTCGTCCTCTTCACTATCGTCCTCATCCTGTGGGCTGCTGGCCACACTTGGGCCCCGCGTTCCCCCGGCAGTGGCATCCTGCTGGGCGTTTTACCGCGGACACCCGACCTTAAAGTCGCTCCGACGCTTCGTCCTCGATTCTCCCTCTCTTCCTCCCGCGTTCTCCTCCGCCTCGCCCTCTCGACGTCCTGCCCCGCCTCGTTCTTGCCCTCGTCCCCCCCTCCTCGTCCGCCCCCCTCCTTCCTCACGCGCTCCCCCTTCACTGCCCATCCTTCCTTCTCCCTGCTCTTCCTCCTCCACCTCCTTCTCCTCCCGCAGCAGCCACATGGGCACTCGGGTCATTGCTCGAAGCGGGGGGGGAACATTTGGCTCGAACATCCAGGGGGTAGTGGCCTCAGGTTCTGAGCAAGGCCGAGAAGATTGCTCGTGGCCGCCATGCGTAGATTGCTCACGGCTGGGTTGCACTCCTTGGTCTCGTCACATGGTCAGACTCATGGTCATACGCCTCCCCCCAGCGCGGCGACGATGCAGGCCTTGGCGTTGTTGATGCCTTCTTTCCGAAAGGCAAGAGGTTGCGCCGACAGCTCTGGTAGAAGCTCTCCCCAAAGACGTGAGAGGCAACGCCCACATTGGATTGCTCAGGGACTCGTGTGAATCCGTACGCCAAGCTCGTTCGACCCACCCGTAGGAATCCGTCGGAATCCTCAGAACTCTTGCAGGACGTTGAAGCGATCCTTGGGACTTACGTAGTAATCCAATGAGCCGAAGGAAACCTCAGGGACCCTCAGAAGTTCTCAGGGGTCCCACGGATCCTCAGAGTTTCTCAGGAGGCCCACAGAATCCTAGAGATTCTCGGGCAATTGGTTTGTGAAGTCCTCGGAGTGCCCAGAAGTTCACGCGAATCCGTACGCCGAGCCCGTTCGCCCACTTTCCCCGCCCCTGGGGAATCATTCGGAATACGAAGGAGTCCTAAGACAGTCCGATAATCCTTGTTCCTTCGCAATACAATGGGCCTAAGGAATCCAGAGATCTAGGAATCCTCTGCTGCTCCTGCTCCTGCTCCTGCTCCTCCTCCTCCTCCTCCTCCTCCTCCTCCTCCTCAGCATCATCATGATCATCCTCATCCTCTTCCTCCTCCTCCTCCTCTTCCTCCTCCTGTTCCTCAGTTTCCTCCTTCGTTTTCATATGACAGCATGCACGAGCGCTTT